TCAGTTTTCTGTGAGTTTAGGGTGAATTCGAATACTGTAGTTTCATATCATCATGAAAAGGCAATGATACATTGTTTGGAAGATGATGAAATTGAAAGGCAACTGAAGTGCAAGATATTTTATGTGGGACTATGCATTTTCGAGTGCTTCAAGAAGTATCATACAAAGGCAAGATTCAGTTACACGACACAGTGGGTAAACCCTGTATATGCATCAAGCAGATAACTACAAAAAATAGTATGTACATTGAATTTTCCTCTATTTACAAATAAATATATAGGACTGGGCGTTTGCATCTATTAGTAGTGTGTGCGTGCTTCCGCTAACGGAGTGTTTAAGTGCATGACTGCACAAATCGGTGTATTTCAGGCACTCTGACCATACTCATCACTGTACTGATCAGAGCACTTTGGACTTTAAAGGTTATAGGAATATATCACCATTTCAATTTTTTTTTCACTCATACCCATTTCATGTGTTTGTACAATGAATGTAGCACTAATTTATTGTCAGTGTTTACCATAAAATTTAACCTCCATTTAACACACTTAGGACCGGTCACATGATATGATTTTAGGTCACATTAGGTTGTAACACACTACACCTTGCTCTGGCACCACCCGAGTTGCATGCAATGGCATAATAAAACTCTGGAATGTTTGCTTACTTGTCAGTAACTTGACCTCACTGTGTTCTTAACCCTCTATAAACGAAAAAGCTTTGCTGCTCTTCGAGCTGTATGTCTCAGCCAGTAGTCAGTGGTGGGGTATGGACAAGAACAAATTCTTCTCCGATGAGCTAGCTGGCCTGCCTTGAGAAATGCCTAGTCATGGTGATTCAGAGAATGGTAGTAACAGGGGGGAACAAAGAATTGTGGCCACAGACAGTAAAAGTGACAGTAGCTCAGATGATAATGGGGGTAATAACATTGCGGGGACAGTAAAAAATCTAAAAAAATCACAAAAGTCTAAACCCTGATTTGAAATTGAAATACAAAAAGCATTTCTGATAAATGTGGCAAAGGCCTGGGTTACAGACCAGATGGTGGCGGCAGAACCAGAGTCAGACACAGACTTACTGTGACTGGGCCCATCAACTCCACCCCACACAGGCCTCATGTGGACCCCCCAGGGTGACTCTCGGGTGATATGCGGAAACATCCCCTCGTGAAAATTGTGAAGAGTGAACATTCCAAGGGGAAGCATCCTTCTAGGCAATGCCATGTTTGCACAGTTCACAAAAAAAGGAGTATGTCTATATTTGCAAGTTCTGTGTAATGCCACTTCACAAAGGGGAATGTTTCCAGAAATATCACACGCTCAAGCACTTCTAGCAGCACTGGTAAGTGTTCTCCAAAAATTTAATTCATAAAATTAATTAGGAGATTTTATATTAATTTTTCAAGCAAACAGTGCATAAGTCAGGATAGTTGGTTTAATAATGGCGGCCTCAGGGTGATTTAAATATTTATATCGCCAGTCTGCAATGTGTTAAGTAAGAGCAATGTTTCTACAGGACTATGACCAGGGACCCTTCCTGTTTTCATCAAATTTAAGTTCTCTTTGAATGTAAGCATACATCATTATTTGCTTCACTTGTCAAATTTGGTAGAATTCACATGGTAGAAATAGCATATTATGGTCAACTAGGTGATCCATATTACAGTGAAAGACATGACAGCACTGAATATTAACAAGAGGATAGTTCATATTTCTCTCCCTACTGTGTTATCTCTTTATGTTCATGGAATTGCTATTATAAGAGACAGTGTTAGTTGTTTATTTATGACAATATTTGGCATTGCTGCAGAATGTTTCTATCATGCTACTGGTTTTAGTTGCACTGTTTTAAATTCTTTCATAAAGGTGTCAATCCTCTGTAAATTAATACAAACTTGCATATCACAAAGGACAACACATATAAATGTTGAAGACTGTATAGTCTAGCAAACTCAAAACAAACATATCAGATAAGCACGAAAGGAGATGAACTGCATTTTTGTCTCATGATTCAGGTCCACCCAGTACAACCCAGAAGCATGGCTCCTGTTTCCTGTTATGGAGTACATACACACTGTCAACATTTTAAACATCAATACATTGTTTTGATCAGTCTTACAAACAACAATTACAATAATGAAAATAACTTTAAAAGTCTAACATGAAACAGTAAAGTGAAATCTATATCTATAAATTACAAATAATAAATAAGGACCTATAAGCAGAACTTGTGAAGCTTCCTTTACTCTTGCACAGGTGTCTAGTCCTATGGATCTGATACTGTTCTTTTATTTTGTGAAGCACTTTTTAAGTACAGATTTTGTACATATTAAATTTGTTTGGTATAGCCTCTAAGTTCTGACCCACTAAAATGATTGTTATTGTTGACTTACACACTTCCTTTCATACACAATGTGTAGTGACCACAAAACAAACAAGTTCCCATGGCAACAAGTGCACATGCAATAGTAGACAAACTGTTGGAAATGGTGATTTCTATGTGGTTCATGCCGAGATGTTATAATAGAGACAAGTTAGGCTTTACTCAGTTGTAAGGGAGCCTGTGAGGAGAAGACTTGGTTGGTGCAGTTGAGAGCCAGCAGGCAACACAGTGACTGCAGAAGCTGTCAAATCTCCACTGTTATAAACTGTTACTAGGGAACGACTGGTAAAGACACAGCAGACTGAAAAGGCTTAGTGTGTAATGTAGTGAACTGTAAAGTGTGGAGACCAGTGATGGCGCTATAATTAAGTGTAGTCATGAGTCATGTATTAAGAGGTCAATAAATACCATCATCAATCCAAACCCTGTCTATAATCACTTAATCAAGTGACAATATGTTTATGATCTCTTATATCTTGGTCCAAAATTTCACATGCATGACTCCAGTGGTTCATTAATTACCATCATCAAACTTATAGCTAAAGAACATTTTTACACAGTCACCATGTTATTTTACACTCCACAAAAAATTACTTTAACAAATGTCGCATGCTCTTTCAAGATTTACTGCCATGCATCATTTCAGGACCCTAAAATATGTGGCACTAGTACAGTTCTCATCTCACAAATGTGCGCATCCACCATATTAACGTTGGCTGATTGTAGGAAATTAAGAAGTAAATTGTGCCTCCAGTGGCACAACGTTCACACACAAGCTTGTGAAAATAAGTGGTTCAAAAGCTGAAACAGACACGTATATGCCTGCGAGCATGCACATGTGCTGCATAATTATCTCATAAGCCCATTTTGGTAGGCTAAAAATGTGTACTCACTAGGTAAGCAAGAAAGGGTAGGGTTCAAAATTAGGACAGCTACTTTGAACTCATCATGACTCTTCTTGATGATGATAATAAATCCTGTCTATTACAAAATACAGACATTCCTGTGAAACACACATGCAGAGTGTGAAGACTGGCACATCATATTGTGATCTTGTGGGTTATGACATTGTGTAGTCTGGTGTTCATACCACAATACCATCATGGAAACCTCCACTCTCAAAGAATTAGCAAGCACTTGCTCCTCACCATCATCATGGTCATCAATGTGCATCCTGGAATCAAACTCCATCACTAACCATTCTGAGCTATTATAGATACTGGAGTGTCCACTATGTGACTATGATGTTCTTTCTCTCCCCTTCCGAATCTTATATAACAAGCTCATTTAGCTGGCACACAGTATTTTTTTAAAAAGTGTGCTACAAAAAGAATATATTGTAGGTGAAGAAAGCAGTCTTCTGGGATTTGGCACCGTGTATATGTGGTGTTAATCGACGTTTCGGAGGAACGTATCGCCCCCATCTTCAGGGTAGAAGAAAAAGTATAAGAAATCTGCAAGCGACAACACCGTGAGAAACAGTAAACGGTAAACGGGTCTGCTTTACCGTTTCTCACGGTGTTGTCGCTTGCAGATTTCTTATACTTTTTCTTCTACCCTGAAGATGGGGGCGATACGTTCCTCCGAAACGTCGATTAACACCACATATACACGGTGCCAAATCCCAGAAGACTGCTTTCTTCACCTACAATATATTCTTTTTGTAGCACACTTTTTAAAAAAATACTGTGTGCCAGCTAAATGANATTATATCATATAATTTATAAATGTCTCTGGAGATGTCCTTCTGCACAGATAACTAAAATCTGATCCGCAGCAAATAAAAGGGTATTTACATGAATGGCATTTATGACAATTTCTAGCATAAAATAAATCATGTTTGCATACACACACACATGTACCCATGCACACGCATTATGAGGCTTGTTTAAATGAAACCCATTCAGCTATTATTCTGGGCAAAGGAACTGAGGCCATGAGAAATAGTTACTATGAGCATTGAGGCAGGTATCCCACTGACACACCAGCCAATGGATCCTCCCCACAAATAACTTCCTGAGCTGCTGCTGGAATTACAGCACCACCACGGCCTTGAGCCTTTATCTGACCTAAATCTATGACCTTTTAGTGTTTTCTTAACCTTTTGACGTGGTCATTTAAATTCCGCGGCCGCGGCTCCTGCGGTAATATATTCAGCCG